AAAATAAAAGAAATAAAACTTAATAAAGTAATTTACTTATAGTACCCTATAAAAGGTTAGTTGTATTTTCTTGTTTCCTACTAAAATATGTACTTTTAAAAGATAAAGCCTACTTACTATTATAAATAAATAATTTTAAAAAAAATATATAAGTTTTATTTAATACTAAGATACTATATAATTTCATCTTATAATAAAAGCTCTAGAAAATATAAAAGTAAGATAAAAAGTTTACTTTTTACTTATAGTAGACTTATAGTAGGTTATAGGGGATAGTAATTTTTAAAAAAATACTATCTTTTACTTTTATTAGTCTTTTACTAGAATTTTAAGCTATAAGCTTAATAACTTAGTATAAGAATATAGATCTAGTAAATCTCTATTATAATATACTTTTTTCTTAATTTTAAGATTTAATTTAAATTTAATAGAAGTATTTAAAAAGTATAAGTTTTGCCGTAAATTAAGAAAAACAACTAACCTTTTGTACCCTACTGTATTTATCTAGTTAGCTTACTTATTAATTATATTATTAGTTAAATATTATAATAAAATTATATTATTAACTTAAAAAAACTTATTAACTTAGAAAAAAAAGTTATAATAAAATATATTTTTTAACTAAATTTATAAAAACTTCTTTTTTAAATATATTAATATAGAAAATATAATAAACTAACTATTTATTAAATATAATAATAAATATATTAAAATATATAAAGAAAGATATAATAAAACTTCTAGAAGAAGTACTTTTAAAGATTATAACTTAGATTAATATAATTAAGTTATAATATTAAGATAGATAAGTTAAGCTAGCTTATTATTATATATAAAAAAGTAATAATATTTTATAGTAGTAATTATATAGATACCTAATTTTTACTAGCTAGTACTAACTTAATTCTAGTTACTTATAACTCTATATATATTATCTATACCTATATAGTTAGAACTAACTTCCTATAGTTTAATATCTATTATATAATAATAGTCTTAGATATAATGTATAGATTTACTTAGTTAAAGCTAGCTATCTATAGTCTAATATCTATTATATAATAATAGTCTAACATTAAATCCTATATAAGTATTAATTAATATAAATATTAACTATTGATAGGTTAATAAGTATTAAAGAGAATCTATAATAAGAAATAGCTTAATTATTTAACTATTTATATAGCTTAAGGAACTTAAGTGACGGTTGATAGTTTAATATATGAAAATTGTTTAATACGGAATAAGCAGTCAAATCAACACTTCATCATACCCATATATGCACGACTCCCCGCATTATCGACTGCTGCTGGGGCAGGAACTGACTTCTCAACCGTAATCCTAATGCTTCGTTAAGCCTTGCGCAACAGTGCGCCGTCTAACTATCTCGACCCCATTGTTTAATTGCCATCCTACAGCAAAGCACCGAATCCAGAAGTATAGTCTTTCCAGGCATTCATGGCAGATGCGTTCCCCCCACGCGATGGCGAGGTTAGTAGTTGGCGTTCATATTGGCCGGTTGGTAGAGCTTGTGGCTGGCTTCTAATAGCAATGTTCATCAACGCTCCTATCTACGAAACTCGACCCGCTCGCACAGCCTGCTTCTTCCCCAGCCTGTTTTCGTCCTATGTGCAGCGTAATACTTTCCATTTTGATGCAATTGGTACTTGGTACTGTTCAAAACGGGAAATTTTTACGCCCTAGCCGTGCCTCGACGTGTCTATTCATTTTGGCCAGGCCAAGTTGCTATACATACAACTTGTTTGACGTAACCAGTCGCTGCGTCCACGATTCGAAGCACAGTCTCGGTCTTAACTGTCACAGACTCACTCGCCAATGCCACAAGCAGACAGCCATGGCAGCTAATGCTCAATCCACACATCGGCACATTGCTTGCAGCAGTTGCCGGGCACGCAAAGTCAAATGTGACGGTGGCCGACCACATTGTAAGCCTTGTGGTAACGGTCGCGCTCCTTGGGAATGCATCTATCCAGCAGCAGCAAGAGGCGGTCGTCCGAAGCGCAAGCCAAGTAAGCATCACGGATTTGGCTTATAGACAGCATTTACTAACAGGAAGAGAAGGTTCCACATCAGATTCTACTACGTCGAACGAATCTGAGGCAAATACCTTGGACGTTACTCTCCTGGCTGTGGATACGACTGTCACTGCGCCGGATGAGACACTGACCTGTTGTGATCTTGATGTTGGCGAGCCGGACATAGCTTTTGACAGCTACGTTCTAGATGATCACAGCACTTTTACGCACTCGAGTGCCTTCTACTCTGACGGTTTCAACAACTTGGACGGCTTGGACACCGATGGTCACACCCTCCCGCCGAGCCAAGCCTGTGGCCAGGCTTTGGATGATGAGTTGATGCCAGAGATATTGGCCAATCCACCACCGTCTTCGAATTCAAGCGCGACTACTGAGGAGCTGAATTCGTTGGAAGAAGTACCGCCGCATCTTGCCACTTTGCTGTACGAGTTTGTAGTCTTGATGTAAAGCATGACTATGCTAATTGGACATATCAGCCTCGAAACATTTTTTACCATGTGTCGAAGCACATTTCGACTTTTCGAAAGCTCGCAGGAGATCTTGCACCTTTCTTCCAGCTCCCTCTCGCATGAAGAAGCAGCACTACGATATGCCATCTTGGCACACGCTGCTCCAACATGCACCAAGTTTCTCGCCTGGGCAGCAGCCACGGATGCAACTGCGGCTGCGCAGAATTGCGCTCGGTACTTTTACTCATTGGCATGCGAGGAACGAAGCAAATGCAACATTGATCCAAAGGTTTGCTTCGTGTCCTCTCTCAGGGCGCTGCAGGCAACTGTCCTAATTGGCTTGTACGAGCTGCAGCAAGCGCAGTTTGGCTGCGCGTGGATTACGACGAGTAAGGCGGACTGGCTTACGCATGCCATGCAGCTGCGCACACGTGACTTTGGCCAAAAGTTTAACCTCACTGGTCCAGAGATGTTACATCAGGCTCGAAGAGCACAGTGGGCTTCGAGCAGCTTAGCCTGCATGCTTATGAAGGGGGGTCGTATGTGTGACTCTGTTGACGAGGTGAGACAGGGTATTTCCGAGGGCCTACGATTGCTCAGGTGAGGATTCCGTTTCTAATGTGATCCATAGACTACAGCATGGTTACCAGAAGTGACAGAGAGCAGTACTGTGCCGGAAGCTGGTATTTGCATCGAGGACGTTTTCCAAAATGCCGCCCCTCGCCCATTAACCGTTGAACAAGCGCTATTGTCGGTTCATTTATTGACGTGGCACATCGTCAAGCACTTCAAAAACACGAACACGACTAGTCCAGGCCCTAACAAAGTGCCGTATAATTTTTGGCTAAACCACCACCGGCTAGAGCAAACGCTTCTGTATATACGCAACTTTCTCAAGAAAGATTCAAAGCCTGAACCAAGCGCAGAGTTCATGCTAGACACGTACGTTAAGGCATGGAGCATTGCGTTACAAGAGGCGGTGCTAAGAAAGAGGGCTACCTCGCCTTCCACTCATGATGGTGCTGGTCAAGACCAGACTATCGAGGCAACGCTTCTGCGGCAGACCCTGCGGCTCGCACAGACTCTTCAATCATGCGTTCTTCCAAGCGATGCAGCATCGCTCGTTAACATATCGTGGATAATACACACCGTGCTGCAGTCCTTGCATCGGCGTAAGCGATTGAGGTCTTCACTGGCCGCTTTCGACATCTTGCCTGATTGGAATTCTTACTTGTATTCCGACCAGCAATATGAATTGTTACTAAGTCCTGACAGACCCGGCAGTGCATCAGACATGACAAATATTCTGCTCATGGATGCATCAGACGCTCTTCAGTTCTTGCTGGCGAGCATGGCAAATGAGCTACCGATTGCCAAGTTCTTCTTAAAAAATCACGAGCGTGAGAGAAATAGCAGCGAGGGTGACCTTGGCCGGTGCGTTGTTGGACTCGTGGATTGGAGTATTTGATCGAATATAGATTATAGCTAGCTTCTGCAGTGTGCTTATCAGTCGTCAGAAATTGTAAATGTTTATGCCAATATACATATACTTCCATCACCATCAACTGTCCAGCAAATCGAAAGGTTTGTTTCATGTCGAAAGATCCTCGAAGGTGAATGACTTTTCTGGAACATGACGACAGTCACTGAAACTCGGAATAAAACAGTGAATTTCTGTCGAAGGTCTTCATATTGACACGTATGGCATACCGCAACTCCCAGTAGTTTCACGCCTTGTATTGTGGTGCATCTAGCTAACGCATCTACCAAATATCAGCTTGCGGGTTCTTTTCTTATTGAAATCACCACCTCGGCCAACTTCTGTATTCTTGAGTAACAGAAGAAAGGCGATCAAACTACGGAGTGCTATCCTTATAACGGACTGGCTTCCACTTTTTGAGGGCGAACAGCCATGTACTCCTCAATGACACCGTGGTAGGATTGCGGGCCGTAAGGCTTGAAGAAGTCCACCAAAGCGTTACCGTTGCGCTGCGATTTAACGCCGAGGTCCTTCAGCAGGCGATCTAGGTAAACAATCCAGTCGAACAGAGCGTAAGGGTATCGTTCCCCGACGGCACCGTAACGGCGACGAGTCCAGGCATTCCACTCAGCAATCTCCTTGACCATATCTTCCTCGCTAGGGAGGTTGACCTCGCCGAGAAGATAGGCAACGGCCCATAGAGATGGCAACGGCCCATAGAGATTGCAACTCAGATATGGTGGGCGTCTGCGTCGTATGAATCTGGCCAAGGATCACCAGCGATCGCTCGTCAGCAACAGAGAGCGGAATGACGCGGTTGTACAGACGCCAGCGACGAGCGGTCATCTTGCGGCCAGCTTCGCGCTTCCAGCTGTTGTAGTCCTTGGGTCCTGCAGCGAGGAGCGGGATCTTTTGAGCCAGAATGTCGTCAGCAGCCTTGTCATGAGAAGACCATGGGTCGCCAGCGGGGAAACCGAATGGATACTCTTTCGCAGCGGGTTTGACTGGCGCCGGACCGTCGTACAGCGGGAGGCCGAGCTCGTTCTTGAGCTCCGGCGAAAAGAAGCTGAAGTGGTCACCCCAACCGGTGGCGTAGATGACAAAGTCGGCATTGATGCGCTCAGCCGTCTTCTTCAGCGTGACGCCGGACTCGTCGGCGCGGGAAACTTGGTCGCGCACGATGCGGATGTCGCCCTTTTTCAGCGTGCTCCAGAAGTCCTCCATGGTGATGAGGCCCAGGGAACTCTCGCACCAGAAGCAGCTATTGTCTTCTAACTCCGGTTTGAGGCCTTCCACCTTGCCGGCGTTGCCACCGAAGCCAGCAGCGTTGTCGGCCTGGCTGGTGATAAAGCCCCAGCTGGACCGAGTCAGCCAGCGACCAATCATAGTGCGATGGAAGAAGCTGCCCAGCCAGGTGTCGGTTGTCATGAGAGAAGGGCTCAGGTAGTTCATTAACCGATTTGATCCCACAGTAATAGTATTCTATAGAAGGCGGTCAGTTAAGCGTGGCTCCCGGCAGTTTGGGCTGAGCAGTACCTTTCCGAGCAGCTTCGACGGCATAATTGGCATGGGCCCAGAGCCGTTATCTCTGATAATCCTAACGAAAGGTCAGCACTTGAAGGAACATTGAAGTTGTGTTTGTAGTACATGCCATGTAACTTTCTTGCCCATTGAGCTCAGGAGGTAAGCAGCATCATACGCCGACTTAGCAGCGCCGAGGAGCACAAAGTGGTCATTCTCCTTCTTCTCAAAGTTGACCACATTCTTGGCAATGTCTACTGCGTGAATAACGGGGATAGCATTATCGGTAATTTCAAACCCAGGCTTGTTTGTTTGGGTCGTAATACCAGCAGCGCAAATAACCTTTGCAGCATAGATTGTTTGACCATTAACGGTGAGCTTCCATCCCCCCGCGGGGTTACGCTCAACACTGGATACCCAGCTGCTAAACCGAATATGACGCTTCAAATCGTTGTCATCGGCAAATTTGTTCAAGTACTTCCAGACCATGTCACCCGACACGAGATTGTTGGTCGGCTTTCCAGCAGTCGGCATGGGCTTAGAAGGGTAGTTCTGAAAGTCCATGAGCAACAAACTTGGAGATCGAATACCCCGGAAGTACCTACAAAGTACCCAAATTCAACCTGGGCAACGAGGTTCGGGTAAATTCGGTCTTTGGACCAAGTTCCACCAACGGTTTCATACTTGTCGAATACGGCCACTTTGTAGCCCGGCTCCAGCTTGAGAATGGTAGCAGCGCAGGTAAGTCCATACCAACCTAAATGGGGCATTTATTGTTAGCGTACTGTTGCTGAGAAATACACAAAGCGAAAGAGTGGTGGAATATGGGTAGTCCATGGAATTACCTGCGCCAATGATGGCAACATCAAGGTTTGCTGTCTCGTCAGCGGTGAAATGCGGCATGGCGGCTGTTCTGGTGCTATTTTCTTATTAGAGAAGAAGCGATACGGATCGGAATGTAGAATCTCTGTGTCCTAGATGCACGTCTTATATTATGCAAGCGTCAGCACTCTCGCATCACTTCATCCATTTGCCGGAGCGATTTATTTCTCTCTGGAGTCCGCAAACCTCATTTCTCCGACCAATAAACGCCATTAGCGGTGTCCGAGCTTTGCAGAAGCCCGCTGAGTGGCTTGGAAGCTGCCGGCTAAGCTTCTAAGTACGGCGAACAGTCGTATGCAGGGTTCGGCCCGGAGCGATCAGCACTACTGCCGCCGGTGCATACACGTCTTCGGACGTTATCACCTTCTTGAATTAACTGCACCGCGATATCGCTGATAGATCCAACACATGGACCGAAGGCTACATAGGATGCCAGTTATGGAGCCCTGCGTACATTCGGAAAGCCGGAGGTAAGACGGCCATTGAGCGGCGCAGGCGCGGTTGACAACTACGAGTATAAGTGGCATCGTAATCTTTCTATTTACTTTAAAAACGGAAACACTAACATTCAGAAGAGACAACACAATTATTGCTCACTTAAAAATTAACAGCTTCTTTCCTATCTGCCATTTAATATGCCTATGATCTTCGATGAAAATGAGTCGGCGTTGGAGTCGATTGTCATTGTCGGCATGGGTATGCATGGATCCTTGAAAATGTTCAATTCTAGAAAAACTAACTGACTCAACCAAGCTTGCCGCCTGCCAGGCTCTGTGGACTCATCGGCTAAATTCTGGGAAATGCTTCGCGATAAGCGATCCGTAAGGAGCCCTCGCGTTCCTCTGAGTCGATTTAATATCGATGCGCA